CATGCCTCTACATGTACATGAGGAGGCAAAAAGAAGATACCTGCTGCCTTTCTCTGTTGCTCTATATCTTATTTATTTAAAACATAGTCTCATTGAACCAGAAGTTTGCCAATTTGGCTAGGCTGCCTGGCCAATGAACTCACAGGATCCTGCCCTCCATTGCTAGTGTTATAGGAACACACATCTGTGCCTCCTCTTTTTACATGGGTGCTGGTAATTTGAACTCAAGTTCTAATGTTTGCATACCAAGTGCTCTTATCCACTCATCCATCTGTGTTAGTCAGGGTTCTCTAGCAGAGCAGAACTAATAGAAGGAATGAATATATATATATAATGAGTGGCTTACAGGCTGTGGTCAAGCTAGTCCAACAATGGCTGTCTACCAATGGAAAGCCCAAGAATCTAGTAGTAGTTCAGTCCATGAGGCTGAATGTCTCAGCTAGTCTTCAGTATATGCTGTAATCCCAAAGAAGTAGGCTCTAATGCCAGAGAAGGAACAGACCTGCCAGCAAGAGCAACAGCAAGTGGCCAATGAGCAAAAGCTTCCTCTTCCCATGTCCTGTATATAGGCTACCACCAGAAGGTGTGGCCCAAATTATAAGTGGATCTTCCCACCTCAGAAGATCTGGATTAAAGGTGGATCTTCCCACGGCTTGATGCCATGCCTCCACCCAGCTGTGGTGAACTCTTTCTTATCTGTCATGTCAGGTAAGGTTAGCCAGAGTAAACTCTTGTCTTCCTTAAATTGCCTTTGGTCATGGTGTTTTTATCACAGCAACAGAAAGGTAACACATAATGTTATTTGCTGTGTTAAAAAAAAAACCGAGCTAAAGTACTAGACTGATTTTCCATTTGACAATTTAGAGGTGAGAGATTGAGCAGAGATATTGTATGTCTTTCTAAGGCAGATCAGTGCAAATAAGGAGACCATTAATTTAGCCAAACAAGACTTGGATGGCTGTCTGGAGAGTATCTCAGAATTTTGCCTTAATTTCATCCATAGTACTGCATGCAGCAACTGACCAGGATATTTGCATCTTCTGTGGAAAAAAAGGTACACATTTTATGAATTTAAGTGACCAAAATTGACAGAATGCAGTAGAAGGCTGTTCTCTGTGAGATAAGCCCATGGTTCATGGTTCCTGCATCCATATTAATGGCTGTATCTTTTGCTGAGAAAGATGCTGTTTACCTGCCTGTGACTGTGTATTTGCCTCGCTTCCTGAAGTCTATTTCTTCTCCCTCTTCTTTTTTGTTAATTAGACATAACATTATAAGCTGTTTTTGTTATTTTATTTAAGTGGAATGGTTTGAATTATTTTTCTTAAAGCCCACAAGTAGTGTATTTTTATTCCTCTCTAAAACAATCCAATTATAAGAAAAACAAATAAAATCTAGTAACTTGTGCTTTTTCACCTGTACAGTTCTGGTTTGCTTTGATGAGGCTGATGGCACTGCTGTCCCTGTTCCCTTCTTATAGGTGTCATAAAGTAACAAACACTTTAAGGAATTGAGTTTTTAACATTTGTGTATGTGTGCATTTGTGTGTGTGTGTGTATTAAAATGTGTCGAGGTCAGACATCAACCTCCACTGTTCTTACTCAGGAGTTGTCTATCTCGTTTTCTCTGGAGACAGAGTCCCACCCCTCTCTCTGGGATGTGGGCTCCACAGACTCACGAGTCAACCAATGAGATCCTGGAAGCCTCCTGTCTCTGCCTTCCCAGCATTGGGCTCACAAGCTGATGTCACCATAACTGGATTTGTGTGTGTGTGTGTGTGTGTGTGTGTGTGTGTGTGTGTGTGTGTGTGTGTGTGTGTTCATGTGGGGGGGATTGGATTTGCGTCTTCAAGCTTGCACAACAAGCACTTTATTGCCTTTAGTCATTTCTCCAGTTCCTAATCTAGTGAATTCTTGTAGTTCATAGATAATTAATAAGCGATGTGAGAGAGTGCATTACAAAAGAGTTGACTATGTGTGAATATTTGACATTTTTCTCCTTAAGACTTACGCTCATCATGATGGCTAATAAAAATATTGATTACTAAAACAAACGAGTCTATGTATTTGAAAAGGTTTTTGTGTTTAACAGAATTGCTGTAATCTTACAAAAATGCCTTGGCAAGATTCATTTAGATTATGAAATCAGTAGTGGTCCATGTGAAACATGAATTCTCTGATGTTGGTTTTGGCCACTTTTCTCGTCTTTGGATGAGAGTGCAATTGGAACCACATTGTTTTCTCCAAGAGAACATCAAAGACACTGGCGTTAGTAATCCAGCTTTGCATAATGCAAGACCCCCAAGCTTCTAAGAAAGTTTACTTCACAAATGACCACTAATAATTTGTGAGTTATGTTCTACCTAATAGACGGCCAGGAATTGTGGACCTAACCAAGAATCACAGCGCTGCATGAGATAGGGATAGGACAAGGCATGGGAGAGAAAGCTACTGCAGTACTTTGGAAATAAGCAAAACTATTCTCAGTAGGCATAGAGAAGTGGTGCATGAGGACCTGAGTTCAGACCCCCATCACCTGCATAAAAAGCCAGTCCAATAGCATGCAATGGTAATTCCAGCACTGAAGAGGGTCTCTGGAGCTCAACTGGTCAGCTAGTCTGGTCAAATTAGTGAGCTCCAGGTTTAACGAGAGAAAATTAGATGAAAGACCAGCAGGATGGTGCATCAGGTAAAGGCACTTGCTGCCAAACCTGCCAACGTGTTTGATCTTGGGGATCCATGTGGTAGAAGGAGAGAATCAACTCTCATAAATTGCCCTCTGAACTTCACGCAAACACCATGGCAGGCGTGTGCCCATACATACACATGCACATACACACAAATACTCACACTCACACATCAAAGATATTTAAGTAATATAATAAAAATAAGGTGGAAAGGCAGCTGGTGAAGTAGATTAATAGATCAAATATCCACTGTGTAGAGGTGTGGATTGGAGCTCAGATCTCCAGCATCCTGTTGCTGCTGGGTTGGCATGGAGATCTACCTGTAATCCCAGCACCTAAGAGATTGAGACAGCACATCCTTGGGACAAGATAGCTGCTACCTAATTTGTCCAAGTCATCAAGCTCTGGTCTAAAAGTGAGAGACCTGCTTCAGCACATAATGGGGAGTGCTATCAAGGAAGACATATGACATCAATCTCTGGTATCTATACGCATGTGCAAACACATGCATACATACACATACACACCAACACACATATACACGACCACACACACACAAATCTAGAATGCTAAGAGGATTTAATGAATTCTGCATGCATTACAAAAAAAATTAAACAACCAGTTATTGCAATCCTGTAACTGTTTCTGTATTACATGTTATTAGTTTAGTCAAAGAAAGTAAATAGTACGAGCCAGTGAATGCTCTTTTGACATACAAATTGGAGAGAATTTCTTCTGTAGTTCTTTATCTCATCATCTTCTCTTCCCAAGTCTGCCCTTAGCCTGTGACTATCTTATAAAAGAAAGTTACAGATTTTCAAAATTAAGCCCACCTATAACAGCAAGATTTAGAGATTGAGCAATTCCAGAAGTCCACCACACTCTTGTTGACCTCTGGGGAAAGGTAACAGCCTCTCATTGACAGACCAAGATTAGTCCTTTAATAAGAGCCAAGCATTCAGGGGCGCCTATCACTTCTCCCCCTTCTCACCTGTACTATTTCCCATCCGTGTGAAAATACAATGATGTCTGTGCAACTAATACTACCGTAATATGATCGGATCCAGTGGGTGATAGAACACTGCATCTGATTTGGAATAAGCAATGGACTGGCAGAGCTGTCAGAACTCATCATTGGAGCCACATTGAGTCAGTGTTGGCTTTGTCTGCTTCTGTACTGCAGAGAACTTGTACACATATGCTTGAGGAACAGCCACCAAGCACAGCGTCCCTTACCTACAGAAACCGAAGGATGTCCAAGCAGTATCCTGATTTCTCCCACCCACCTAGGAGAGGAACTGGAAGCGACCGCTTTCCCTTTGACTTGCACAGAGTCCATCCACCCTTTGCAGGAGGAGATGGAACCTCCCCTCTGAAAATGCCTGCAGTTGACACTGGGAGGCGACATCTTGGCCCTGGACTCTTGGGTTTAGACTCAGGCCCAGAATCCTTGCCTTTCTAAGGTCACGGAGGGGCCGCAGCTCTCACTCATGTCCCCACCACCGGTGCTGTCCTAAACTTCAGCATGGGGTGATGGTAAGGCAGAGTACAGCCTGGCCAGGCACATCCTTTGACAATAGTCTGATTTCAAAGATGCTTGCCATGTCAATGGGACACCCATCTTGGCAGAGATTGCCTAGCAAGGAGGGGCTGTGGTGGATGTTAGCAGTGAGTCTTGATGTCCACCCAGTGAATTGAGAGAAACCAAAACCACATTGATGGAGCTAAACACTGGGAAGCGACAGGGGTGAGCCACATGAACGTACCAAGGGTGACTGCTGTTCACACTAGTCTTGCCTTTCTTGCTAAATCCACTTTCTTTTATCTTTTCCTTAGAAAGATTGATATTAATGGTCTTTAAAAAAAAGCTCACAGGAAGTGGTTTTCTCCCTTCTTCAAGCTGCACTTAAATCACTCTTATTGTTTCTAATCTGACACACATTTGGCTGCTGAGTGAGGAGCATGCTCACCAGACACTGCCCTGACACTCAGGCATTGATTCGCTCACACTAGACTGTCTAAGGGATTTCTGTGTTTCAGCTAGAAGTCAAGAGCACAACAGTGAATATCAATATTCTGTGAGTCTGGAAGGTATTTTGCTAAAAATATTCCCTGCCAATAAGTCAAAAAAAGTGAAACTTCTGGAATCAGGTTGCAAAATTAGTCTTGAGAACCAGGAGAAAATCACTTCAAAGAGATTGTCTGTGCCCCTGGTTATTGGTTCCTGTGCTCTTCTGTTGGTCCAGTGGAACTCGAGGCATAGCAGGACACCACATCATAATGGAGTCACAACGAAGGATCATCTTGTTACCGGAGAAACCACCATTCCGGGGCTCTTTGCCATCAACTTCTTTCTAAGCTGATCCTTTATCAGGCAATGCTATTTAGTTAAGGCTACCAGTCATCGATTTTTTCATATGGCTTCCAAATTAATCTTTATCCAGTTGTAAGAGAAATTACATTGTGATGTCAGCAAATTATCATAGAATTTGTATTAAATTTAAATATATTATTATAGGCATTTTTCCTTTAAATATTACATTATTCCATTTAGAGGTAAGATATACTTTGACAATTCTTCATGTAATACTTAATTTTACTTAAGTTTTAAATTTTCTTATATAATGTCTTAGGTTTTCTTATTTAGGCTACTATTATTATCAATTTATGTAATATTCTTAAATTTGAGTATAATTGGTTGCCAATATACAGAAAATCTATTTTTTCCTTTTATCTGGCTACTTGGCTAATTTTTTAGACACCCTCCTATGTTTTCTATGTATCCTATAATCATGGATCTGTGGAGTAACTATGTCTTCTCTTCTTTGATAGCTATATAGATTACTTAATTTGTTTTCTTCACATTTCATTTTCCAGGGACTTCTGATAAAGTTGTATTACAGTAATATCAGCCTCTGATGGTGGTGAATTATAGATGGTATAGTAATAGCAGCACTTATTTAATTTCGCTCCTTTATGGACACTACCTCATTATTTGACTATTTAATATGCTAGATTTTTCATAACCAGCCTACTGTAACATTGAGTCAACTTTCTCCCATTTGTATTTCATATGGAGTTTGCAAAACCCCAGGGCTTGATGGAGTGAGTGGAGAGAAGTCCTTGAGATCGCAGCACAGACAGAAGAACTAGTAATATCAAAGAGCTTCAAGAAAACAGGAAAGGAAAATCTTAGTAGGCTAAGGATGAAGCAATTCGTGTGAAGTCCTCAGGCAGAGAGGCTGGCCTGAGAAAGAAGTAGAATTCTTTCTTTGGCAAAGCAGCAAGAAGGGAAGGAGAAATCAAGATTGGAAGGAAGAAGATGCGTGCTTTCTTTGGGCACCGCCTCCTGATCACCTTTGAAGAAATCGCCTATACAAAATCGCCTACACTGGTCTGACCCTCTGTTGCTATGATAAACACCATGGCTAAAACCAACTTGGGGAGGAAAGGGTCGGTTTATCTTACAGGTTAAAGTCTATCATCAAGGGAATCCGTGGCAGGGGCTCAAGGCAAGAGCTTGAAGCAGAAACCACAGAGGCACACTGCTTATTTATTTGATTCATTTTCAGCTTCTTTTCTAATATAGGACCCAAGCCTACTCATCTAGGGATGGTAGCACCCACAGTGGGCTGGACCCTGCAATATAAATCAATATATCAGTCAATATATAAATCAATAAACCAGTCAAGACAATACCACATATATTTGCCCACAGACCAATCTGATTGGGGCAATTCTTCAATTGGGGTTCCCTCTTCACAGGTGGTTCTAGTTTGTGGCATGTTTACAGTTAAAAAAAATTCCTTAACCATCACAAGAGCTACCTTAGGTTTGAGATTGGCAAACAATGGTGACAGGGTTGGGTCAGGTGGTTGTATATTTTTGAGCATTGATCTGGACTAGGGCATAGGGAAGCTTGGAGGAAGAAAGGGAAAACCTGTTACCTTAGTGAGGAGTTCAAGGAGCAGATGGGGCCATATTGAATATAATGATCAAGGAGTGTAAGAGTGGAATTAAAGCAAGATTTTTATTAATGTGCCACTGACATTAAAATTAATATAAATGGAGATTAAAATTAATATAAATCAGTAGTAAAGATTTCAAACAGAACAGATCTCAATGAGGGTCCACAGGTCTGAGGAAGCTGGGGTCTGAAGATGGTGATAAGGACCAAGAGACTAGGTGAGTACACCAGGTGATAAGCCTAGACTATATCAAGAGCTGCTAGAAGAAAGCGCTCTGGAGACATTGTGGGATGAGGATGAAAATCCAATGGAATGGCACACGATTAGGCAGCCAGTCGATAAGAGTTGAGAGAGTGGGAGTCATCAGGGAGCATCACAGACCAGAGGGAAGAGGCAATTAGAATGAAGAAGGGATCTTGACAGAATGGTTCAGTGGGTAAAAGCTCTTGTCTCTGAGCTGGATGATTTGAGCTCTGTCTCCAGGGCCACATGGTAGATGGAGAGAATGAACTTTTCAACAAGCGGCCCTCTGATTGCCACTCTAGAAGCATGCCAACCCCCGGAAATAAGGAAATGCTTGAAAATACAGGCAAAAGAAGCAGAAAATGTCAGACTAGTTTGAAGTTACATGTTATCTGTGCAAGAGACAGTGTGATTTTATTTTCACTTTTTGGTATCACACACACACACACACACACACACACACACACACACACACACACACACACACACACATACTGCCAGCGTCCTTATTGGCCTCTTTCTCAAAGAGCTAGGACAGCATAGTAGGTCATCTAGAGCACAGACTGTCTTTGTGCAACTCTCTTCAGAATTTGCACTTTATGCTTGTACTGTCTTGAAATGGAAGATAAAATTAAGACTGGACTGGTGGACATTTTCTTTTTGCAATAATAGTTGACATACGAGAAGGTTGTTATATAACTATTCAGTGGAACTGCTGTCCAACTGTGAGTGGAAAACCTGTATTTCTTTTTACAACTGTCATGTATTTCCTCTTTAATGAAATTTTAGGGTAATGTTCTTTTTCTGGATAGAATCAGAAAATTGAAAATGTAAACTAAACAAAACCAAAAAAAAAATCTTTTACTGATATCCTCCTTTGCTTCCTTTATTCAATTTGACTTTTGGAAATCTGTGAAAGGATTGCCACCGTGGGTACAAAACTTTCTCCACAACACTAGCAGTATCTACTGAGTCCACTCAGCAACTTTAGTTTATAGTATCTTGTGGATGCCACATATCAGTGTGATTGATCAAATTCAGGCATCTTAGTGGTTGGATTGAATAAGCAACAAGGAATATATATATATATATATATATATATATATATATATATATATATATTCTAATTGTGTTATTTATTCTTTTCTTTCTTCCCCTTCATCTCCTCTTCCCCTTCTTGAATTCCTGGCATATTCTTCTAGAACTTATTATTGCTCTGCACAAACGCACACACCCCTACACCCCCAACACCTTATTATGTACAGTTAGCAGTTAGTGTTACCTGCATATACATGTTTTTAGGGCTGACCATTAGGACTGAGGACTTGGTTCTTCCCACTCGGTAGCTATTGACTGCATGTAGCTCCTTACAAAGGGGACGAGGCCATGTGAAATTTTCCATCTACGTTGGCATGTTGGCTGGTGTGGTCTTTGCAGGCCGTGTACAGGTAGCCAGACTGTTGAAAATTCATGAGAGCAGCATCTCTTGTGCCCAGAGCAGACTTTCTAAAAACAGTTGTGTGTCAGTCCTTAGGATCTTACAATCGTTATGCCTCCTCTTCTGTGATGTTTCCCGAGACTCAGGTGCAGGAGCTGTGTTACAGATGTTCCATTTGGGGCTGGGTACCAAGCAGTCACTTTTTCCTCTGCATTATGACTAGTTGTGGATCTCTGTAACACCCTCTATCTTCCGTAAAAAGAAGCTTCTTTGATGAGCGAAGGGAGCTACTCTTATCTATGGGTATAAGGATAAGGAGAAAACAGTTGAAAAAATTATATTAATTTAGGAACATAGTAATGGTAAGTTTTCCTTTATTGTCTATGACCTTGCCAGCCACAGGTTTGTGCTTCAGTTGACAGTACCTGGCATGAGTTCCCTTCTATAGAGCAGGCCTTGGGTACAATTAGAACGTTCTGTTGGTTATCTCCAAGATGTGAGTACCACTGTTGTACCACTGGGTATATCTTGCTTGTCTGGCCGTTGTGGTTTGCAGGCTTTACATTTGGGTGGAACTGTTGACCTATTTTCTCCCTTGGTAGCTTGCATAGCACCTTTGCATGCTGTGAGAGATAGTCATTCCAGTTCAAGTACCGGGATTTCTCAAAAATAGCATCATCTCTTAAATTTCAGTGACTGGAGTTCATGGTGTCTTTAGCAATAGGGATGTATCTTCATGTTCTGTTAGGCAACCAAGAGCAATGGCAGTGGCAGTAGTTAATACTGTTTTTTTTAGGGTCTCTTGGATCCCTTGACCGACAATGCAAAGGGAGGTATTCCTTTCTTGGCACTGGAGTTTTGTCAGCCTGTGAATTCTAGGCACTAACATCCTGATCAGTGAGGTAATTCAATTGAAGCTAAATACATGCATTTTAAAGTAAGCTTATAAAATAACAGATTTTCCTATGGTTTTCCCAAACATCTTTAGTGTTATTTATCTCTTCTTCCTTCCCCTTCCTCTTTATTACTCTTCCTCTTCCTTCTCCAGTCAAGTCCAGTGGGGATTTTTATTTTAAACTTCTAGCCTGGTATATTGAATAAAGAAAACTCTATATACCCACTTGATTAGGATTTTCATTTTTTAATGAGGAAGTTGCAATAGATAGTTGGGAAAGCAAAGTAAGAGATTGGCATCTGAAACATTTTTATCTGGATAAAAGTAAGTGAATCAAATTCAGAACCAAGAATATTAGCTCAAGAAGCTAAATATCCTAGTGAAGTTACTTAAATTGGCCGCACTGTATCCTGGCTTTGGGCTGTTCGTAATGAGACTATGGGGTATTGCTTTCACTCGAACACTGTTTCTGTTGTATTCTTCCTTCATTAAGGGCAAAGTGTCCTGGCTATTAGACAGTTTTATGAGTTGAATGAGAACTAGAGTATCTCCTGGAATCTCGAGTGAGTTACTAACCATGCACATGGGCCACTTACCTTCAGGGAGAAGATTCTCACACATTTGCACACATTCACGGTTTCTCCATCTCATGTTCTTTGTTTTGTGCCGTGTATTTTCTTACTACAAGAACTGTCTCTTTTGTTCAAGCGACAGCTAGCTTAACAACTCCAGGAAAAACAAAGCATGAAGTAAGCTTTCTTTATTTGAAAGAACCATTCAAATACCAACTGCCCCCCTAAACCGCACAGGGGTGGGGGACATCATGTTTCCCCTTCCATTTCCCAAACAAAGAAAACAAGAAATACTTTCATCACTTTTATTTGTTTTGTAAATCACACTGTCCTCAACTTTTGAAATAAAAATTTCCCTGACAGCCATTTAGTAATTGTGAGTGATCTATGGCTTGATTATAAAGTGTTCATCTAATGATCTATTTCTTTTACCCCAGAGGCCAACTACAAAGCTACAGCATTATCTTGGTGACATTTTTAATAACTTCCCATGGGACTGCAAGCTCCAACCACAGCCGACCCTGCAAAAGAGTTAATCATGTAATTTCACAGATTAGACACCACAGGGTTACTAATGAGAAACGTCAGTTTAGTGATAAACTTTTTTTTCCAGAAATATTTTGAGAGGCCCATGACCTTTGGCTGACACTCCAAGAGGCTATTACTTTACCCATGGATGTGCTACCAAACCCACAAGAGTCAGCGGACCATCTCTTCTGGAAAGTTGATTGTTAGAATTTTTCTTTATAAAGACTCCAGTAACAGATGGAACAGACAAAGGAGAATAAAAAGAGACAAGTGGGGGGTGGAAGAGGGGGGGACTTAACTTCCGCTGATGGGTCTAACTTCAGTTTCTAGTGTCTTTCCAACCATGTGTTCAAGATGGAAAGCGCAGTTCACATTTCAGTGTCATGCTGCCCTCTGTTCATAAACATGTATCATCCATCACTAAATATTTAGATCAGAATTGTTGGAGCTGAGCTCTGTGCCAGGGGTAAGGGGATTAATTCCTTTCAAGGTCCTCACATGATGGATTTTCCACTGAAGTAAACATCCGAGAAGCGCTCACACTGAAGCCATAAAATTTATAAATAAAGTTTAAAGTTTAATTAAGTCAACATTATTTAAAGTGGTTGTCATATTTTATGGCAAACGTTTCATGTTTATTTTGTGTGGCTCCTAATAAATAGCCCCACCCGACCAGAAAAAAGGTCCAGCTAGGCTAAAGGGTCCAGACTTGGGGCCAGAAGTAGAAGAATTTTGAGCTGGGAATAATGGAACCCTTTCTCATTATGCTTTTGTTTAAAAACTAAGCATTTAAATTAGACCTTGAGGCAGCAGCTGACATAGAATGAATGCTTGAAAAATCCCCTATGGGTTCATCAATTGGACTGTGGGAAACCATACAGTCCATATCACCACTGCAGACTAAGAAGTGAAGGAGAGCACGAGTGAAAAAGAGAACAAGTAATTACTGTTTTTCTAGTAACAGAAAGCACGAGAAAGAAAATAGCTAATGAAAAATTAGTCGACATTGGCTTATTTGCTTCTTAAATTCCTAGAGGGAGGCCAGACAGCATTTCAAAC